CTGGGCACCTACTCCACTTGGGAAGGAGACACCTCAGATCACATATCGCGCGGAGAAAGGTTGAAAGATGATGGAGGCATGTCTGGATAACCCAGGGTTTTTGAGATGTTCCCCTGGGTGGGTATTCACGGATGAGGGTTGACTTGGGGTGAAGAAAAAGCCACCATAACTTCGCAGTGGTACTTGCAAATGAAATCCGAGGCATGAGTGCTCTTCTTGTAAATTGAGTCATCTATCATACACTTCTCTGATATTGTGTCATAGCTAGATAGCTGCATACGCAATTAAAATCTGATGCAAAAAAAAAAAAAAAAAGAGGCGTAGACACGATTGTCATAGCTAAATAGCTGAATACGAAATGAATTAAAAAAAAGAGGCCTAGACACCTGGACCGCATGATGTGCGCATATTCATCTATATCTTCCTTTTTTGTAACAATCGAGGCCGACTTGATCCCATTCACCATCGCCGTATCGGGTGCTGGGTACGCTCCGGAAACTCATCGGATGGCTTTTCCTCCGTGATCAAGGTTTGGTGATGAGTAGAGCTCCGACCCTACCATCTGATCTGATCGTGGTTAGCTTCATGATAGTGGTGACAGGGGAATGTGATGAGAGATGAAGATGATACAGATGGCGAGAGCGATTGAGAATTATCGTCGAAAGGAGGAATTTGTTACTCAATCTCGGCTTTGCAGACTCTTCAGTGAGAGCCGGAGATTCTTAGGCGACATATCTTAAAGTTGTTGAGTCTCATCGTCACAAGCTGTAATATGTGTGGGTAATTCCCGTACAGAGACTAAAGTTCATTCCTCCATACGCCCACTCCCCCCGCGTTTGTATCTCCTCCAATCCTCTCGGTCTTTCCACGTTTCAGCGTTGTCCCTAGTGAAAAATCACACATTTTTGCCTCTGGACTGTCTTTTTCGAAGGACGCCTACACCCCTCCGCCAAGATATGATCACCGTCGTATCTTTTCCCCTTTTCTTCACGTGTAAACATACTTCCTTGGACTAAGAGTAGCAAGATGTGTATTAAGACTAGTCGCACGCCCGGTTCTCAATGAGCAGTATCAATGTTTGAGGTGATCGGAATAATATTTATTTGGGAAAGTAATATGGGCAGATTGTGAATTCTTGTGACCTCAATTCTGAACTTCAAATTACTCTTGTAGTTTCATTAATAGGACACGCCTATGTTCAACTCGATTGAAGAACCCACCGCTGGTCGGAAGAATTAGTGTTAGTTTACTTGTTGAAGCATTATTTTCACATACGCCGTCTTCCATTTGAGAAACAAACACGGATGGTCAAGGGCTTGTAATTCTTGCCCATCACTGAGATCTTCTCCGATTAATTTTATGATAAATGCACTGAATGTGAAATCTCAAGGTGAGATAATACACAGAATATGTACGTCACTGTATACTGCTTGTTTTCAGACAAAATTCCCCGCTCCCATTGGTAGAGAACTTCGCTGAAGAGTGCTCAGCCTTTATCCATTAAATTTGCCTGGTGGCTAGGTCTTTCATAAAACTACGGGCGACTCCTTTCAAAAGAGTTTTCCCGAAGACTGCTTAAAGATAGAGTGTGCATGATCGAGCGCTTGTTATGAGAACGTCCAGGTTGCGACCTTTTGATATGGTAGATATTCCATGGCTTCGATTTGACAGAAGAAATTCAGAGTAGCCAAGCAGATAGTAATGGATTCTCTACATACAAACAAGATAACTCAGTAGCCTGCTAAAAGAGCATATCTCTAATTCAGACCAATCTCTACCAATATCGCCTCAGACTCCAGTTGTAGGGCGCTGCAGTCCACTTCGGGAACAGGTGAAATATAGATTAGACTACTCTCAACTCTATTTCCCACGAACCCTGAGATTCCGTTGTTGTCTGTAGAGTTGTTTTTAATTCAATACTAGCCAGGAAAGCCTCTGCTGTCAATGTGTCCACTGGATTCTCCAATACCCCACACAACACAAGGAAGTTGGGCTAGAGTAATCTGCAACACTCAATTTCTGTCAGATCTTATCTCGATTCTTATCATGATTTTGTTAGGGCAAGACCCCCAGTATCTATTGGAAAATACTGAAAATAAGCTATATATTAAAACAAGTAAATTTTTGGTAGCATTTTATCCGATTCTAGCAGTCCTTTATTGTCATAGACTCAGTGGGGACTTAAATTTAATTCTGTTCTATCATGATTTCTTATCTATCATAATGTGCAGGTAATAGTCGGCTTCAAGAAGTAGCTAGCAAGTTAGAGAGCGCTGTTACGAGGTACACACAAGTTTAAAGCATCCTGCTGATCAGTATCTTCGAACGCCACAAAAGGTCAGCTATGCTTTTGGAACTATTCCTAATTCTAGAACAGAGACGCCCCACTCCCAGTGCTTTTTACGATATTTTCTTATGCAGCCAAACATCTAAAATCTGCCATGGTTCCTTTGATTGGAAAGGGAAGAAAGCACAAAGTAGGATGCCTCTCTTGACGTATGATCGAATGAAGTGTTGTGGGTGATATGACTAGATGGGGATTGTACCGGAGGCATAGGAGAGTATGTAGCACACAAGGCATGAGTACCCTTGGCCTGTGGACAGTAAGTACCTACATGTGCTGTATAGTCATAGATTGAGGAGTGGCAGTAGTAGAATAAAATATCTTACTAATCAGCTAAAGCAGTAGCAGACAAGCCGACGCGCCACGTGTGGGCCTGGCTCAAACTACCGTAACGAATCACGTTCGTCAATGAAAACGCCTCAACTTCGTCATCCTTGCTAAGACAATACTTTTGGTAATCACGCAACACTGCAAACCTTCAAAGGAATTTTTACTTGACCATGCTTCTATCTAACCCTGGTATCACCAACTGCTTCTTCGCAAAATTTTGACAAGACTTATTTGTTACACTGACTTTTAAATTTAGTCAAGCTAAATTTATATCAGAATGCTAAGCCATCAAACTGATCTGACCTCTTTTTTCATGTCAGACGGTTTTGAATACAACTAGTTAATTATGCTCGACTACCAGGCGTGAGTCACGCTATGGAGGACAACAGTCGGAAATCTCCACGAATCAAAGAGTTTATCACCCTGTGACTCTTAGTTCGCTCGCGTCAAGCATCAGCGAGTCACTGAAACTGATCGAAATGCATAGAGTATTCTTAGCTTCTTAGATTTCCACTATTTCACAGAGAATATTATACTCTTTTGCCTGTTATAACAGCGTTTCAAGAACAAATACTAAAGATAGATGGAAATGGTTAGCTGACTACGTTGTAAATTGTTAGTACGATATGTTAAGTATGAAATGCCGGGGCACCAGGGGCGCCGTCTGAAACGACTGATAGATATGCGATAGACTCAAATAACCTGGTGGTTATCTATTGACAGATGACGCGGAAAAAGACTTTCCGTCCTAGGACATCTCCTCTGGATTGACCTGTAAGTCCCCTTCTTTGTTATTTCAATTCAAACGCTGACTGTTCCACAAACACACTCTCAAATAAGCTTAGTCAGTTCCGTTTGAGCTTTGCTAGTCCGAGAAAGTACTGAGGTTCTGAGACTGAAATTTTCCTTTCATCGTAGGATTCGATGTCCAGGTCTACTGCTTCTGGTAAGTTTTGAGACCTGGTTCAAGATATTCAAGAACTACGAGTAAGGGTTCATGAGAAATGATGAGTTTCATGCTACGGTTGAGGCCAAGCAAAGGGTATCCAGCATTGGTACCATTTTCGCAGACCATCGACTGATCGAGCATTTCGATTGAATAGGTGAAAGGGAATTTCGGCGGAAATTTACGCGCCTGTTGTGGATAGGGAAACAGATACCAAAGCAGGCACGACCTTGGACTCTTTCGTGTGAAAACCTTGAGAGGCCGGTGAGTGAGGCCGAGTAGGAATAAAAATTATCTGGATTGAATTTCCACATTACACGCGTCATTGTAACCTTCAAGCTACCGCGCATCCTGCCTCTCCACCCGTCCTAGGGAAAATCAGAACTGGCACGGTACCGTCACTGTATGGCAGACTCGACTTTAGCTCTGGCGGGGAGGTCGAAAGATCAGCAAAGCAGAGCAGTTGTGCTTGCTACACAGTAATCAGAATTTTTGAAAATGCTGGCTATAGCCGTGATAATGGGGTCGTACGATAAGCTCTACAGCATTCTCATGATGGCAATGCGAACACCAAAGACTCATCCTCCGACTAGCTCACGGAGGCTGGGGCTTCGAGGTACAGAAACGCAAGTTGGGCGACTTCAGCTGCGTGTAAGTACTTGCGCACATGTATGTCCATGTCAACACGTTTAGCACGGATTCGATAGCGCAGCACACAGACATTGTACGATCCTTCGTTCAGTGGAGGGGCCACGGGAGACGCTATGGATGATGATACCCCCGCCCCCCTTTCCTTGTGCTATAGCGTACCTGCTATAGTCCTGATCCGAGATGCTACCGTCAAGGGCACCATGGCGATTGTGACAATGTCTCCCTTCTTATCATCCTCTCACCCTCGTACACTCTCTCACCCTCTTGTGCCCTAAATCTTGCATAGCCTCAGCTCCGCCAGACGACCCACGCTGTGGCTGCCTGACCACCTCCCTTCAAACCAGGCTACAAGCAGGCATCTCCAGCTTGCCCGGCTTTCGTATTCATTGGAATGACCGCCTGCCCTCCGAGACAGTAGTAACTTCAAGAAAACTAGCAAATTCACACCTTCAAAATCAATCGCTGATCCATCGACACAATCCCTACATCGTCAACCTCGTCTCCCACACCGGCTTACCAGCGTCCGAGCTTCTAAATCGATATCCCCACTCACCCCCGCCTAACTTGGAGTATTCCTCAGCAACACCCACTGTTTAGCTCAACGTGAATTCCCATCCTTCCGCCAGAATTTGACATTAGCAAAGCGAAATCGCCGCCACAAAGTCTAGGAATTCCAACATCAAAACTTTCAGTCAATACTGTGCAAGCTCGCCGGTAATAGCTATCAAAATGGCAGCAAAGATGGTGCTCTACAAGCTGGTGGTTCTGGGCGACGGAGGGGTTGGAAAAACTGCCCTGACGATTCAGCTAACTCTACAACACTTTGTCGAGACTGTAAGCTATATATTTCCTCCCTCAGTCTCTGCAAGGCCTAGATTGTTAACGAGCGCTGGTCACAGTATGATCCTACGATAGAAGATTCCTACAGAAAACAAGTCGTAATAGATGGGCAATCCTGTATGCTTGAAGTTCTTGATACTGCCGGCCAGGAAGAATACACGGCACTGCGAGATCAATGGATCCGTGATGGTGAAGGCTTTGTCTTGGTATATTCAATCTCTTCTCGATCATCCTTTACACGCATCAACCGCTTCCACAATCAAATCCAAAGAGTGAAAGAGTCCTCATCGTCCTCATCATCACCATCATACCTTGGATCACCCCTCAGTACTATGAATGCGGACATGCCTGTGCCAATAATGCTGGTTGGGAATAAATCTGATCGAGTCACAGAACGTGAAGTTAGCACTCAAGAAGGTTACGCTTTAGCACGCGAACTGGGCTGTGAATTCGTCGAAGCAAGCGCAAAAAATTGTATCAATGTTGAAAAGGCCTTCTACGATGTTGTTCGCCAGCTACGAAGGCAACGTCTTCAGACGTCAGCTCGAACAACTGCCGGCGGAAAAGCCAAGACAGGGGCAAGTGAAGAGAGAGGTGCAGTGAGAGATGAAGGAAAGAGCTACAGAAGCAAAAGGAGAAAATGGTTGTGCACCATCTTATAGGATGTACATGGCATGACATACGTTTCCCTGATCTTGGGGATGCGGGACGTCATTTACTGCGCGCGCGCATACAGACACTCTCATCCCGGCGAAAATAAGCCTGGAGTAATGATCCGATGAAGACTGAATTCCGCCCGCAGCCCAAGATTTGCCTCGAGAATGGAAATATGCACCTAAGGGTAACCCAATTAAACTGAAAACACGCTGGATTATTCGTCAGTCTACTTGTTGTGACCTTTTATACCATCTCGCCTTCCTTTCGAACTTCAAAACAGACACTAGGTATCTAGCCAACATTATGGTCGATGCACTGAAAGGGGGATTCTACTCGCATCCGAGTGGCGCAAGGCAAAAGAGCGTGTCTGAGCTTACTGGGGAGAAGAAATTTGGCGTTTGGGTCTCCGGGTTATTTTTTCGCGGGTTGCTTCGGTTTACAACGAAGAGGCTTTTTGGAGACATGGTAGTGGAAAGCTAGAAACATATGTACCTGTATTTTCTCTTGATATCGCTGGTAGTGTTGAGGGATCCCGATAAATTCTCGCGGAGAATTCTTGCTCGGTTGAATCGGAAGCAGGATTTCTTTGAAGATGCTGGCGATTGGTTATGGGGAGGGCATGCTATTAAAATATAATCTGACGCATCTAGTAAAACTTCCCAAAGAGAAGGCTTCAGAGACAAGAGTATTGTGTTCCGACGCGAGAAGTGAAGAGCATTTAGAATGGAAACAAGCAGGCACAGATGCTTGCTCCACACGTTCCCGTACCTAATCAGAATACTGTCTACAGTCGCCGAAATGAGATCCCTCTACACTCGGAGTAATGACCACTGCCGAATTTTCTGCAGAGTGCCTGCGATACGGGATGATTATTTACAGTCGCTTATGGAGTTCAAATGTTAATTTATCAAAATGAATGGGGTATGATCCCTGTAGAGATGGAATTGATTGGTTTGGTCTTCATGCAATCCCATGTCTAGTTCGTCTGCTAGTTATGCAAGCAGGGGTAATATCCAACGATCTTCTGTAAAAGTCAAAGTTAATGGGGATGGTTTTCATCTTTGAAGGAAATGTAAGTCGGTCCTCATTTGAAATAAAAATAAAACAATTGATATTATCTAAAATTACACATCTATTTCTAAGATAATTTCTCTGTACTACAAAAGTATACATCGAAGCCCTCAGTATGGCTCACAAGCAAAATGAAAGCGTGCCACATGTTTTGTATCATTCTGCTCCATCCTGATATATTGTGTACCCTCCATTTGCCTTTATCACCGGTACACATCTTTCGTGCATGTTTGCCGCACTCAACGGAGGCTTCTTCAGAGCAATGCATCTGCTGTAACCTCTTTCTTTGAGGGCATTTGAGGGTAAAGGCTCACTGCATCCCCAGTGGCTGAAGGGTCCCATCGCTAGTTCCAAACAGCACATCTGCCGAATTTCAGGAGATTCCCGGACGAAAGCCTCAAGCTCGACTTATTCCACGATCAATTTTGGTGAGCATCCTTTGCGTAGTGTAGGATTCACATCCTCTCGAGCATACGCACGTTGTTCTTGCCTTCTTGTGAAGCCAAGTTTGTCGGTTATTTTTTGTAATGTCAAGCCAAGTCTTCTTAATGTTCTTATTTCATTACATTCATCGCGAGTTAACTTCTTGCGAAATTTGGTTTTTGAAACGGACTGTTCCTGAGGCAATGTTTGCTAGAATAGAGGATGAATTGATAGTGATGTTAAGAATCAGAGGCTCTGTTGGTTAATCAGTCGAAAGTGTCGTATAATTTTATTCCCACAACCAATCAATAGAAAAAGTAGATTGGACCACACTCCATGGCGAGCGGGGTAATGAGGAGAGACAGTCTAACCTATTACGAGGTAGCCCAACTGCGCCTGCAGGGCTAATCCCTTAAAAACCGAGTTTCAAGTTTAACCTTTTCTATCCCAGAGGGACTGTAATAGTCGCCCCGGCGGTTGTCCTTGTCGGCGCAGAAAGGCTATACCCATATAGACCAGGGTCAGTGGTAGGGGAGCAGCGAGTGTGGGAGGGGCCAGTCATGGCTGTCCTGCCTCAGATCTTCACTGTAATAATTTCGAGTCCCAAGTTGGATGGGATCTGGTGCCAGGCCGGAAAGAGGCGCCGACGTCCACGGATGTCTACCATGCAGAGGCCCGCGGGCCCGACCGGCAGTTGAATCCTCCGCGCTCCATGGCGCTCTACTCCCGCAAGATGGACGTCGTAGCCGGGGGGAAGAGGCGGGGAAGAAGTGCCGGCACTGCTGGGCGGGCAAGCCTCGTGGCTGTGTGTGGGTGCCAACACGCATGGGGTGGCCAGGCGAGGCGTGGGGCAGGATTCACAGAGGAAGGGTTGGGGCCCCTAGCTTTGCCCAGCCCCTTTTCCGCGGCTTCCGCCGTTGTCGGGAATCGTCGGTCATCATGGGCATTGACGGGCCGGAAAGCTACGATGCTGGCCGCCGGTGGGTTCCCGTGGGAGAGCTGATGCACTTTGGACCTGCGCGAGCGACTGTACAGCAGCGGGCAGCGCCGTGGAGGGCATTGGGATTCCGGGCTCCGACCGCCGCTGTATTCGTGTTCCCGAGAGGGGCGGCCGGGGAGCGGGGCGCATGACGAGCTCGCCCTAATTCTCGCCGCCAAGTTGAGCCGCCGGCGGTGCCGTGTCACGTCTGACGAGCGACCTCCGACGCGTCTAGACCGCGCGCGCTGCAGGGCAGGGTGGCGGCACCTCGCTCGCACGAAAAGTCCCGGACCCCTGACAACCTGAGGCTCATAACATTTTGGGTGACGCATAGCGCGAAGTTGACGGCTGGTCTCCGATCAGAATCCTCGGCACACGGGGTTGAATGCCGTATCATGCAGCCGGCGACGCGCAGGCCCCTCGTATTTAGAGGTATGCCGCCGCCCATCACTGCCGGGCGTGGCGTAGACTTGGACTGTGAGCGCTTAGGTCGGCGTCTGCGTGATTCGCCAGGCCTGGCGAAACGGTCGGCTCACCTCGATTCCGATTCTAACCCGGCGGCACTGATGCCGAGATGCTCGCCCTGTCTAGCAACCATCAAGGTTTGCTGATCTCACCGCGGCCGCCGCCTGAGCGTAGGCTCGAAACTATTTAAAGCAGAACTTCTGTAGCTGCCTGTCGTACTTTAATCAGGCTAAGCGTGACATTGATCGGTTTAAGCGACCACGTGTAGACTCGGACCCCGTCCAAGCTCGTTACGCGCTAGGGCCGGAATTGAGGCTAGACGCCCCATACGGCCTTGCACGCTAACCCAACTCGGATTCGCCGGTCTCACGTCGCGTCTTGACATCTCGGCCACTTTCATTTCGCGTCATTGCAAGCATTATGCAGGACCTTGGATATCAACAGCAGCCCACCGTGACTCTGCATGTTAAATGTACTGTCATGGCTGAGATGTCAAAATGTTAGCACAAGTCGCTAGACGAATTGATGAAATTTTGACTATCAAATCATTCAGTCCCTCACTCCTCCCAAAGCCGTATGTTACTCATGAGCACGATTAGCACATCCTCTTTCAATGAGTCGGCGCCTTGTATTACGATCAGCCTCCAGCTAGCGTCAAATCAGATGCCTGCAATGCCATGAATAACCGACAGTGGACTCGAACTGCAAAGTAAAAGTTCCACAAGGCTAACATTTGTGCTGAAGGTTTACACAATCTTGCGAGGAGCGGGTATTCGATAATACAAGGTATCTATGATGTCGAAGAAGATTGTGTGCGCTACGACTTCGTTTGCGAGGGACAGATAATGCTCTAGAAGAATTCAAGGATATCGTCGTATCCCAATTTCTCAAAGCAGCCCGCTCAGCTTCAGTCCCAGTGGCCTAGATACCAACTCAACTAGACTCGGAAATCACCCAAAACCACATGTCTCGAGACTTCAATGGTACAGAAGATATTGGTAAGGTCGAGATTCGGCCCCTCCTAAATATTGAGCTTTGTAGTGGCAGTGTAGCACGAATGATTTTGTAAATTCAACTTGCGCTTTAAGATGCAAGCCATGAGGTATTGAGAAGCCAACCTTTTGCGCGTGCCTTGCTTATTTATGTTGAAGCGGGAGATCTGTAGAGAAGCTTGAGCTGTTAGCTTCAGTTTAATATCGCCAAGTGAAGCGATTTGGGAAACTGAAGATTCCGAAAAGATGGGATGGCTAATTTATGTTACCCGCCTAGTATCTGGGAGCTATACAATCTAACTAATTCGACTAAGCGAAGTCACAAGAAAAATCTTGATAGCTTGGACACATATCCCACTCTAGACAAGTCTTAACTCGTTCGAATTCGGCAAAACACAACCACATTTCTCGCAGCGCTGTTATGCACCCATGGCAAAAACATGCTTGGACATTCTCGCGGTTTGGATTTCTCTTTGGTGGGTGCTCACAGCAGAGGGTATTTTTTTGCATCAGATTTTAATTGCGTATGTAGCTATCTAGCTATGACACAATATCAAAGAAATGTGCAGAAAAGATGACTCAATTTACAAGAGGAGTACTCATGCCTCAGATTTCGTTTGCAAGTACCACTGCGAAGTCATGGTGGCTTTTTCTTCACCCCAAGTCAACCCTCATCCGTGAATACCCACTCAGGGGAACATCTCAAAACCCCTGCGTTATCCAGACATGCCTCCATCATCCATTAACTTTTCTCTCAGCGGATGGTCGCCTGTTTGTGTAAGTGAACATACCTCATAGTGATATTTGTGAATGAAATCCAGAGTATGAGTGTCTTTAACGTCAAAAGAGTCATTCAACGTGTTTACATAGCACCAATCATGTCATAGCTAGACATCTGTTTACACAACTGTTGTGATCAGGCCCACATATAGATCACACGGCTTGAAATAGCTAGTATCGAGCAAGTGTTATAAACAGGACAAGTGATCCTGTGTCAATGATCAATTTTTTTAAATCATTTAAGCGTATTCGGCTGTAGAGCTATAACACATGATTGGTGCTATGTATACATGTG